GCTTCATCTACTTGCCTTCCTTGCCCCTAGTCAACACATTCTCTACACGTTGTGCCTTGAAGTGATTCGACGGGGCGGTGTGAAGCCGGGGCCGGAGGTGGGAAGGGGCTCTAATTCAGTCATTTCCCGGCGCCATGTGTCCTTCTGCCTGAAATATCAGGCAGACGAGGGAGAAGGGGCACCCACCCCTCCGGCACCTACGATTCAGGGTCGATTGCTAGTCTGACCAAGAGGCCGCAAAAGTACTTGAAGGCCCAATGCTTAAACTGATACAAGACAACTCCATCAAGCTCTGCAAGAGCTCCTGTGGCTTCTACAGGACGATGGCGGGTTTAGAATCCAAACCCGTACCATACTCCAGCATCAAGCATCCGGCCTCGACCTTGAAGTGCGTCTCAGGGATCTGTACCCCGGCGACTCCTGCAAAAACAACTGTTCACTGTCCCCGTGCTCTCTGCTGCAGCCTTTGACGGGAGCTGGGCAGCAACGCCTGCGTGCCCTCGGTGGGCCGCAGAATCGTCGTGGATCCGTAGCTCTGAAGGCTGCAAAGCGCTTGAAACCTCGCCAATGCTCTCAATTGGGTCGGAGGAGCGTGAGTCAAGACAAGGCCTTCGTCTGGATCCCGCTGGCAATTGGACCACGTGTGGGTCCTGGCTCCGCCCTCCTGGCACAGCACTGAGCCCACATCAGAGTTCAGCTGGCTACCAGTACGGGTAGCAACGCTTGGCAGCGCCTACTCAGAGGCTGCTTCGGCGGCGACACCTCCTGCACCTGCATGGCCTCATCTCCTCGTGTAGCGGGCGCCAGAAGCTCAAGCCATGCGGCAGGCTCACACGATGCCTTCTGCTTTCCTGCGGGCCCTCGAACTCCACCATATCCTTGGAAGATCATAGATGAACTAGAGCTATCTGCCTCGCACATCCTGAGATGCTTGCAGCACCGCAGAGGCAAGGCCCGCCGTGAGCACCGCGGCACATGCGCTGCGGGACGTGACTTGCATGGGTCCTCGGGTCCTATAAGGACTGATATTATGGAACGATGCAAAATAGAACTGCACAGGAGCTAGGACCAGGACAAGCTAATCGACAAGAGTAGCGAAAGGCGACCCAGCACCATGCGGTGGTGGCCTAGATAACAGCATTTAAGGTTCCCTCTTCGGCCAAGCTACAAGTCTCAAAACCATGCGTTCCTGAAGCACTGCGTGCAACATAATGCAAGGCGTGCCCTTTCTCCGCCTGTTCAGACTCCAAAACCTCTCCGTAAAAACCAAGCTATGTGTAGGGACACACAATCAACAGGCTGATCCGTGATAGTTTCAATGACTTCGCTTACTGGCCCGGCCAGGGCCAGGGCATAGAACGACCAGGACTTTTTCGGCAAAGGCAAGCTACCACTATCTGCTATACCTATGAGACTCGCAATACAGGCCAGAGCACTTACGAGATCTTACGAGAGCTGATACTGCGCTGCTGCCTGAAGATCATGCTGGAGCAAACAAATGAAAGGCATCACTCACTTCTTCGCAACTGGATACTTCACCTTGGAAAGTGGTCCGGCAACTCAAAGAAAAACCCTGCGTTGTGCGACTTTCGCAGTAAGCATCGCAGGAAGAATCGCAGTCCACGCGGCTGGCTTCATCGCCCCGATCGTCTTGGCCTCGGCGGTAATGCTTCTGTTCTGAGTTTGGGAGCACGTGTGTCCTTGCAACCAACTCCGGGAGTCAGTGTGTCCCCTGTCCAGCAACATCGGCCGCAGCTTAGTGTCTATAAAGCATACTGAGCTCGCATTGTCCAAGCTGGTCTACGGCTTCTCGTTTCTTGCGAGCTGGCTCGGAAATCGGCCTTTTGCAAGGATCTACAGCTAAGCCTAGTTACGACACCAAGCCTTAACTGCGGCACCCTTCTCTCATCCATGCCCAGATTGTCTGCAGCTCCTGCTCAAGTCTCCTTGAGGACCTGGCTGCGACATCCAGCTCTGTCTCGGTCTGCTTCCCCGCGTAGAGCGCATTAACCTGGCTCAGATGTTTAGGGTTTGGGGGTTTGGGTTTGGGGCATGACGACGAATGCTGATGCTTGCAGAAGTAAGCCAGGGTGGGCGGCCTTTCCAAACCAATCCAAATCTGTCAAAGCCGACTTGACATCGGCTTCAATCAAGTTGCGCGCATCGAGCTTAATGTCCACAAAGTCCTCTGAGATTACGCACGGCTCAGGAACCAAAACAACCTAGCCCTCGGCCCTCAAGCAAGCTGTCCTTCCAGGGCAAGGCGTTGTACTTGTTGCCCACATAGGAAACCTAAGTTTCGCGTCTCAAGAGTCTTAACACGCGATACAACCATCACTTCAGACGTCGACTCGACACGGTATCAGCACACGAGACTCTCGACTCACCATCTTTGGAAGCGTAGCAGGTCGGACTTTCAATGGCTCGTTCTCTGTCCATCAGAAACGAATGTGTCGAACGAACGAACTTCCGAAACTAGAGCCGCTCGACCGCAAGGCTTGCGCAATGAACAACCAGCTCACGAAGCCAGCGCCTGCTGAAATCCGACAGCATCTGCCTTTCGAAGACGAGGGACGCTATTGTCAGCTTTGCCGGGGATGTCCGCCACCACGCCCAAGGGTATCTCTAGCTGCTGCTTAGCAGCGCCCACCTGAGTCAGCTTCAGCCGGCCCGAGGACGCCTCACGACCTGTTTTTGCAACGAGGCCCCGACAGCGATCCGTTGCAGCGGCCGCTTGCCGTAGAGGAGCGCCACCTCTGCATTTAAGTTGGCATGGAAGCTCACGTTTGCAACAGGTTCCCCCGCAAGCCAAAGCTGGGTGATCTGCTGAGGGGCATGTCCTTGGAATGAAATTAAGCATGACCACCTGGCAGCCGATGTAAACTCTGACACCGCTGGTCGGCCTTCCTTTCGAGATCACTTAACAACATGACACCCTACCCCCTGGCCTACCCTCGGTTGGTGAAAAGGCAGTTCCGTTGCTTGAGCCAAAACAGGCCGTCGAGATTTCAATGACCATAGTTCACAGGCTTGTAGGCTTGGGGCAACTGTGGCTTTCTTCAGCATATTAGATAGGATCTTGTCACGAACGACCTGCAAGGGAACTTCAAAGGAGAGCCATGCAATCCCGACATACCCATGCCGTTTGTCCAGCAACTTCCTCAGGCTTCGAGAGAGGTCGCTAGGAAGCGGAGCTTTCACAGTAAGGAGTCTGCCTTCCAGGTCCCGAAGGCGAATCCGTGCGCAGTGCAGAAAAAGTCGGTGCGACACCGACGCAAAACCTCTACCATAGACGACGTCACCCACAATCGGGCGTCCTATGCTAGAAAGGTGCACGCGAATTTGGTGGGTCCGACCAGTGAGAGGCCTCACCCGAAGAAGAATCACTTCGTCACCTTCCGAAGTACCGGCGAAACGTGATTTTACAAGGTAAACCGTGTGCGCCTCACGGCCTTCTGCTGCAACCTGTGTCCGAGAGTTCTGTCCATCCACGCCGGTGGTGAGTAGTGGATGAGAAATCTTTCCGGTGGTTCCCACATCGCCCAGAGTGGCGCCTTCGCACAAGCACACGTACTCCTTCTGCACAAGCCGTCCGGCAAACTGTGCCTGGAAGAACCTGGAAGCAACCTCGCCCACCGCAAGCGGAAGAATTCCCGATGTTTGCGCATCCAGTCTGGAGACCATGCACAGCCCTGTTCCGGCTCTTGCTAGATTCGTAACAGCTGATTCGGTGGTCATCCCTGCAGGCTTACACAATACAACTAAACCTGGCTGGCTGACAAGGACATTCTCGGTTTGAGGCACAGCGACGCTCACTTCGCTGTCTTGCGGCAGGTGCTGCTTCCACAAGTCCAGCAGCTTCAGGAGAAGGCGATCACATCGCTCGACATCGCCCGTCTGCTCTTTGATGGCCTGGAGCACGGAGCCAGCCATCGCCCCATCCGGAAGGATGCGTTCCCTGAGCTGAGATTCGAGCAGAAGAAGTGCGGACTCCCAGGAGCTTCGGCAAACGTGGGCCGTGGTCGCTCCGCAAATCCCTGCCTCGATGCGGTCCCTCTGCAGGCACTCGAACAAACACAAGGCTGCCTCCCAGCGCTCGGCGCATGAAGAAATGGCCGCGTTGAAACACACCTCATTGCGCTGTAGAGCTTTCGTTGACATCTCTGCCAGGAGATCAGTCGCCGCTTGCCAACTCTGCCCCTGCGAACACGCACTAACGGCAGAGCCAGAACAAACAAGATCTGGCGAGAATCCGGGCTTCCCTGCATGTCCGAGGGCTGACGACAAAATCGCAATGGAGCGTCCCCAGTTCGAGCACTTCTCGCAAGCAGACATAGCTGCAGCAGCAGTGTAGGAAGTAATTTCGCTCAGGGCATCATGATGTGAGAGAGCTCGCTCCCACTGGTGCTGGTGTGAGTGGGTGTTCAGGACAGTTGTATGTATGACATCATTGACTGGAACGCGCCTTCTCCCCATGCTGCGCAAGCAATCCAATGCGAGCAGCCAATCACCACTGCGCATCACGGATCCAAAAGTGTACTCGTTCGGAGGGATTCCAGAATCATCCGCATGCTGCAGCACAGAGAGAGCAGATGGCCAAAGGCCGCTGGGGGCAATCGCTGCGGAGTAGTGGAAGACGTCGGCTTGAATTCGTCCCGATCCGATCAGCGCCAGCAGCTGCAAAGCCAAGTCTGGGCGATGGGCCTTGGCCACGCTTCGCAGCACAAGGGTCCATCTCCCCGGACCCCAGCTTTCGGGCCGGATGACCTCTGCAACCTGCCGTTTGGACGTGGGAACACCGAGCCGCAACAGCGCCCCGACGTCCGCCATGCCAGTCCCGAGGCCTCAACCGCAACCCAACTTCGAACAGGAGATGCTGCGGCAATCTGCAGACCAAGTATTTCTGGATCCAGTGCGCAACGGCAGGTCCATTGCCACCCTAAACCTGCACAGGTTACGCCAACCCACAACCCCTGAGGGAATCTGAGCTATCTAGGCTCCTTCTGCGGGCTCTTGGCGATGTTCGCATCAAGGAAGGCCGAGCACCTCGGCTTCGGCGAAGTGTGAGTGTGTCACTGGCTGAGCTCCTCTGCTCCGGGTCCTTACATAGTCTGCTGCTAGTATTCAGGGTCCCCGTTTTAGCTCCTTCTCTATTGAAACTCCCTTATGTCGCGGACGTCAGAGCACGGGTCTTGCCAGCCAAGCAACGCGTTCGAGAGAGGCGCCTGACTTCGCCGCCGGCGCCTCCACGTGTGGCTGTTAGGGTGGCTGTGGGTGCGAATGTGGTTGCTGGTGGTGGTTGGACCTTTGCAGCAGTTGAGTGGTTGTAGTACAAGTGCAAGATTGCGGCAAATGCATAATGAGAGATTCGCAGGATGCAAAAAGGCCTGGCCTGAGGTGCGGCAGCAGGAAGTTGATCAATTCTTGACCTCATTCAACAGTGCTGGCAAAAACTCGATCACCTGTACTCATGAGATGTCTACCTCGACACTACAGTCACTACAGCGCATGCTTCTCCACACAATGCTGTGCCAAATACCTTCAGCATCCTTGGGCATCCATCCTCTCGCCAGCCATGAAAGAGCAACCCAGGTCGTTAACAACTTCTCTGCGGGTCAACAACGATGGCCCTCACTTGCAAAGTGTTGAGTGGGAAACGAGAAGAGCTGCACGACTGCGAAACAGATGGTCGTGGACTCTGCACATGTGGTCGCGGGTCACGTCCCCTCGTGTAAAGACTGAAGGCCCCGGGCTTGAGAACTTCTCAAATATCCCATCGCAGCCTCAAGGTGTCAGGTTTAAGGTTTCACATGGTAGACCAGAATATGCAGTGCCTTACTGGTGCACGCTGGTGGCTGCCTAGCGTGTCACGGGCTTATCCAAGCCCTTTTCGCCGTATAGCTATCCTAAACCCAAAGCCTTCTTCAAACAAGTTATTGCTACTATTCTACTAATATTCTTGTTATTGTTATTGTTATTAGTAGTAGTAGTAGTAGTAGTAGTAGTAGTAGTAGTAGTAGTAGTAGTAGTAGTAGTAGTAGTAGTAGCAGTAGTAACAGCAGTAGCAACAGCAGTAGCAGTAGCAGTAGCAGTAGCAGTAGCAGTAGCAGTAGCAGTAGCAGCAGCAGTAGCAGTAGCAGCAGTGGCAGTAGTAGTAGTAGTAGTAGTAGTAGTAGCAGCAGTAGTAGTAGTAGTAGTAGTAGTAGGAGTAGTATTTTTAGTCTCATGATTCATGATTCTGATGATGATGATGATCAGTGTTACTGTCTCCCACCAAAATCGGGGTCCCAGTCCGTGCCTATGGCGAGGTACTGATCTGCCGGGCCAAGGGCCCTTCTCTTGACCTGGAACCAGCAGGTTGAGGCTTTAGGAATCTGTATGGACTTAGGGGTTTAGGGTTTAGGGTTTAGGGATTTAGGGCAAATCTAGGTTTTGGGCTAAGGGTTTAGGGGTTTAGGGTTTCGGGTTTAGGGGGCTTAGAGGCATTGAAAGAGCTTGGGGTTCGTTCGGCTCTCGCCCCACTGGCCTCGGCTTCTGCTGAGATCTTCTGCTCCGTGGCCTCGCGAAGTTGGCTTGAAGAGAGGAAGAGAAGAACACAAAGTCCATGCAGTACCAGTTCTAAGAACTACAATGGTACAAGTAACAGCAAGAATAGGAATAATGATAGTGGCAATGGTACTACTAATGATAACAGATAACAACAATTACAACAGCAATGATAACAGTAACACCCACAAGCGATGTGCGACTACTGAGCTTCTAGATTCATCACATGGAAATTCATTGCACGGTGCAGTCGCGCCTTCCTGGAAGCATCCTTCTTGTAAGTAAAGTCTCCGAGGGAGCGCGACAGGTTCTGAGAAGACGACAGAATTGGCTGGGCTCTCTCTCTCTCTCTCTCTCTCTCTCCCGGGCATGAGACTCTCTCTCTCTCTCGCATGCTTTGTCCTGAGGAGCCCACCAGGTTACCATCAACACGGCCATCGGCAGAAACGAAGCCACCGGCCTAACGCACAGCGACTTTGATTCAACAAGGGGAGTTCAGGGATAGGAGTGTCTGTTCCTGACCCCCCTTCTTGCCTGCATGATCCGCCTGCGCTCGCTCTTCAGCTCGGGCTTGTGATCTCGTGACAGGTTTTGAGCACGACCGCCCCTGCCAAGCCGTCAAGCCGTGCCACAGCAGCTGAGACTCTGATCGAAGAGAAGCTCTAAGCTCAGCTCCTCACCTGGCCAGCACGCACCTGGAGTCACCGGCGTTTGCACAAAACACCTGACGCAGGGATGGCCAGCACTCCCAACACATGTGATGCAACATGTTCCCCTCGGCTGACTCTGGCGAGCTCCTCTGGCGCTGCTTTTCTCCTTCTGCTCGCGATGCCGCGGCACTTTGTTCGTAGATGGAGACGACAAGACCACACCAGAAGCACTGTTGGGCAGCCTTGCGCCGCTGCACGTTGGACATTGCCCACAAGTTCACGGATTTCGGCAAGCTCGGGGGCGCGGGGGTTGTCGACCTCATCTTCCCGCCTCGCACCGCCTCTGGCTCCTTCCATCTCCTTCTCATTAGGGCCTCCTGATCCCGCTGCCCGCGGCAGCTCAAGGCGTCTCAGCCGTCACTTCGCCACTGCCAAGGCCGCTGCGGCACTGGACTGGGGGATCCTTGGCTGCGCATCGCAGAGCTACGGAGCGCACCGCGGCAGCTGCAGCTGCAGCTCGCACAGCTCGCACAGCTCGCACAGCTCGCGCGTCGCGCTCTCTGGGGGATCCGCCGAGATCTGCCGCACCGGCCTGCGGATGCAGCGATTCTCGAAACGATCGTCCCACGCCACCCCAAGTCCCGGCCAAGTCCCGGCTTGCCGCGTACCAGCACTCGGTAACCGAACGCCCTACCAGATCAGCTCGCACATGACTCCGCACCTTGCCACGGAAGGCTGGTGCACGGTGCCGATGGCCGCCGCAGAGCTTTGCCTCACTGCAGTACTGGACTCGTCGTTCCCTGGACCCCTCCTTCTCGGAACGGGCGCAACCTCCTCTTCGCAGCGGCGGCCCAGCCTTTTACTTTTGCCAGCTCCAGACTCGAACGTCACGATACGTCAAGCGGCATCACCGAACGAAGGCTCCCGGCGGGCCTTTGAGAACAGCTTGCTTGTTCAAGGGGCACCTCTTGAGCAGCCTGCAGAAGAGGTCACCTTTGGGGTGTTCAGCCCCGGCCCAAGCTGCCGCCTGAAAGTGCAGAGAGTCCATCTCCAGGCGACTGGGATCTCAGGGCTGGAGGAAAGCTCCTCGGCCCAAAGAAACTCTCTGCTTTTCCATCTACTCTGAGAGGCGCTCTCTCTTTATGCCGAGCCGCGGAATCCTCCAAGGTCACACCATCCGACCTGGGTTCTTCCGATCGTCCGACAATACATGTAAAATACAGTATAATGATGCATAGAGTAGATTACCAAAACACTAATACATCTACGATCCTCCCAGATCTGCTTTGGATGGAGACCTGTCATTGCTCGGGCACAGGCAGAAGTTTCCGTGCGTGGCTGGCCGAGGGAGGCGGAGCCGGCGGCGCAAGCCTCTGCCATGCCTTGCGAAGATCTGCGACAGCCCCTAAAACACTAAATACTAAATATGAGTCTATGAGAGCATTAAAAAAAGATCTGTTGGAGTCTATTGCAGCGTACCAGGAAAAGGTATCTTCCTTTCTACTCGGTTTCCAGCCGGCAAGAGGGCCTCGACCTCGACGTCTGCGAGGAGCATGGGCGGCCGAGGCAAAGCCCGCTCCTTGGTGTCAGCAGACACTATGCTACGGGGTGCTGCGTTCTGAGAGATCTAAGAATCTAAGAGCGATTCGGGTGAATCTCGCCCCATGCCTTTCTGCCTGAAAGGCTCCGAAACAGCACCAGAAGCAAACTTGAAGCTCAAGCATCACCGGGACCGCTGCGGTGCGGGCACCATGGGCACTTCGGGGCTGCCCGGAAAGCTGGACCTCCAAGCCGAGCAAACAAGAGCCCTTCATGCATCAAGTGGCTCCAAGTGGCTCCGAGCCCGAGGCATGTCCAGGAACTCCATCTCCGCGCGAAACCTCAAAGAGAAAAGAGAAAACGCGAGCAGGAGTGGGTCCGGTCCAACCCGACGACTCTATAGAGAGAAGCAGAAACTTGCGCGTGCCTTGCAGCGGCTGTGGTGTATGGCTCCAGCTCTGCAGCATCGGCCCCTTTTGGAAGCTCGCGTTGCGGAGCGTCCTCAAGGACCTCCTGCAAGCTTCGATCTCTTGAGACGGAGAGATCCGCTGAGAAGTCGCAGAGCTGCGCAGAGGGCCAGGGCTCCAGCCTTGCTCAGGCTTTCAGTCCTCGGCAGCTCTCTGAGGCTCTCTGAGACTCTGAGGAGAAGCGGCCACTGTTGGGGCCCGCGCCTCTGCACCTCCGCCGGAGCATCCCGGACCGCCTGCGTCCAAAACGAAGCAGGGCCTTGCAACAGCAGCTCCCAGACCGGGCCTCCTGCTTCCTTCCGCTGGACTCTCGACTCAGGACTGGGCTGTGGCGGCTGTGGCGGCTGCGGCGAGCGCTGCTGCCGCTTTGCACGCTGCGCTCGCTGTGGCCCTGATCCCTCAAGCTCGGGGCCAAATTCGGAGGCTCCGATACGGGTTCGACGGTGTGGGTGGCATACCAGGTCGGCATGCTCGTGGCGGCCTGGATCCGCTTCAACTTGTACAGTCGCCGATGTCCCCGCTCTCGGGATGTCCGCCGCCTCCGCCTTCGCATTCCTATCGGCGAGGCCTCCGCTTCCTCGCTAACGTCGTCTCTGTCGTCTGCTTCTGCGGTGTCAATGTGGAATCCATCCGACGAGGAGGCCGTGCAGCTGACGTCGGCGAGCACAGCGGAGTCGAGGTCCCATGCATCGTTCCCCGGTCCCAGCTCCCCCTCCTCCTGCTCCAAGGAGGCGCGCTGACGGCAGAAGAAGCACCGGACACGGCCCACGCAGTACCGTGGCCTCGATGCCGCCGCCGGTCGACAGGAAATCGTGTCGGATGCCCAATCCTCGTCCTTGGGATCCGACCACCGCCCGGCAAGCAGGTCACAAACCGCGGCGCTGCAGGCCACGTGGGCCTCTAGCTGCGTGCGGCACTGGCGTAAGACATCTCGGCTGGTGCAGAAGTCCTTTTGGCAATTTTTCAAAGACGTTCCACAAGTGCCCAGCACGTCCCAGGCACGATTGGCCTGACTCTGCAGCAAGGACCTAGCTGCAGGATCTGGGAAGCGGCGCCAGGACAGGGGCAGGCCGCTTATGACCGAAAACTCCTCGGGCTCAAGTTCGCCACGCAGCAAGCGCTTCCGCTGTGGTGAGAAGAGATCCTTCACGTCCAGCATGGCTCGTCATTGTCTTGGTACTGGGAAAGTCTAGGAATCCTGCATACCGTATGAAGTTACACCCTGCAGAACTGTCTACAAAGATGCAGCTTGCACACGAAAGCATGCTTGAATGATCTTGAATGCTTGAAGGTTGCTACCTGGTTGCTACACAGCCAGGAAAATGTCGACTCGTTCATGCATGACGCATGAAAGGCTTCGCACGATTTCTGTTGCAGGCCTTTCCATGTACGTTTTAGCACAAGCTCAGACGGAGCTCAAACTTGCCCCTTGTAAGCGTCTCGGCCGAAGTCCAGCAGCAATCCGGCAGGGAGCACACGGGCGAAGAACAGCAAGTCATGATCGCACCCGTGGCTTTGGGATCTTCTTCAGGATTCGGCAAACTTCTGGCGCGGCGCAAGACGGTTCAGGCTGTGCAGTCCAACAGTTCACGCCCTCTTCAGGGTCGCGGATTTCTCATGGGTGCCGCTCGGCGAAGGCCACGAAGCCACGAAGTGCGAGAAGGCCACGGCTTTTGGGGCCGCTCATCCTTCGGGATCCCCGGCTGCAGGCGCTACGCGTGTCTTCTCGTCAAGGTATCATCTGGTTTGCCGCTTCTTCTTCGGCCAGCAGCCATTCCTTCTCAAAACACCTCAGTACTTCCATTCTAAGATTGTGACAAATGGTGCTGGAAGTTGCCCCGCGTGCGAATTGCGAAGAAGACACAGCTCACGGGAAAGAAGTCATCTAGCATTGCCACGATGCCTTCCCACACGACGAGTCTGGATCACAGCTGGCTTTTCCGCTACGGCTAGGTGGGACCAGATGCCTGAGTAGCCGTCTCGTTTCGGCTTCGCACGTCGAGCCTGGAGTAGAAAGACCCGCTGGCGTGCATGCTGCCATGATCTGATCTGCCATGAAAAGTCGATTGCTGCCGGGCGTCTGTAAACATGAAACCGGCCGTGATGGCCCTTGCCCTGACAAGCCAAACATTGAGAATGATCTGACTTGTCATGCCACCGAGCACGTGCCTCACGCTTGTGAGTGGGGCGTTGCACACGACTGCATCTCCGCTTGAAGCGAGACTTGCTTGCAAAGCGATCGCTGCCGGCGGCACCTGAGGGCTCACGCAAGTCACAGCCCACTCTGGAGAGCCCGGCTCTGCCCGGCTCTGCGGCTCTGCGCGCTTTGAGCGGCGTGCGTTCTGGCTCCGGCGGCCATCGCCGAGCGCGGAAGACGAAGACCCCGCCGCCGCGGGCGAGGCCGAGGCCGCGGAGGCCACGGAGGCCTCGGCCGGCGGGGCCTCCATGGTGGGTTTCCGCTTGAGCTGAAAAGCCTCCCAAGTGCGTCCTGCCCTGCTCCGCACGAACTTCTTTAAGACATTGCCATTTTGAAGCAGGAACTTGGTTCGAGAGTGTCCAACCACACAAGCAAAGCCTATTTTCGATTCGAGCCCAAGACGTCTTCAAGTAAAGAAGCGTTCAGACTAGACATGAAAAACTACGCTCGCATGAGGACTGTCAACACGGCACTGCAACACAGGGAAATTTCACACCCGTCTTATCTATAGTGTGACGTCCGAATCATGCTCGAATTTCGTCGCTTTGGACCAATCCTACTTCGCCGGATTATACCGGGAGCTTGCACGGTCAACCGAGCCGAGTGCCGCGACTCAAGGCTCAAGGCTGAGTTCTTCAGTGCTCAAGCGGAGTGCTTTCGGTACTTTCCGTATTCTGTGCGGCTGGCGTGGGCACATCAAGTACCTGTACAAGGTTGCGACCAACCTTGTACAGGGGCGGCTTCATGCTTTTGGTGAGGCAGTCCGCGAGTTGCAAATGCGTGGGTATCCACCTCAACTCGTCGCCGCAGGGATGGTACAGGACATGCGTTAGCTCATCCTCTTCCCAGAGCCCTTGGCGCAGCCCAGTCA